TTATTATTATTTAGTTTTGTAAATTTGTTATTTAATAATAATTAATAAAAAATGCATTGTCTAGTTTTAAATTTTATGTTGTGATGATGTTGTGACAATGTCTCTTAATACATTGTCATGTATCATGAAATTTCAGTTTTTTATTGCTAATAAAAAAAACGGAAATCGAATCGAATCGCAATTCTAGATAATACGTGATTTTGATGGCGTGCTGAAATCAAAAATGTTGCCAAATATTTATCACTCGCCGACCTCATAGAAAACCGACGTATTACTGAGGTTTTCAGGAGGCCAAATAATCCTTCTCATCCCCAATCCCTAAATCCCTATTCCTAATAATTCAAGGCCGGCAACGCATTTTTAACTTTGACTGCGTCGATAGCTTACCATCAGGTACTCCGTCAAATCATTCGACTTCTTACTCTTCTTATACCATACAAAAGACCTCCTAATTATCTCCAGACACTATCATTTTATTTCAAATATTATTTCCTAAATGTCACTGACATCGGATGCATTCCCGAGTTCAAAGGTCAATTCCCAGACATAGTAATATTATCTCTGTCGGAAATATTTTCCGTTAAAAGGATTCATTAAGTTGGATATTTGATCCAGTTATAAGCTTGTAAGGATTTCGATTCAGGTTGAATTTCAATAAGGAAATATTTAGGTTTTCGTCATCAATGATCTTGTATTGTGATATTCTCACTATTCCTACTGTTCTTATATGTATAGGGTTGCCAGGTTACCATATCCAATGGACGACCAGATCAAGTTTGGCTCATAATTTGACATTTTTTTTGTCTGTTTCCCTTAGTTGCTGCACCCCTTAGGGGATAAAATCATTAAAATACTTGTCTCGCCCTATGTTGGATGAGAGGCAGTTTCAGACTCTTACTGATTTAAAACCATTACATTCTTTCTCCTGCTCCAAGTCAAGATGCGAAAGTAACTCTGTCTGTTTGTCTTTTTTTCACACCTAAACTACTGAACCAATTTCTGTTAAATTTAGTACAGACATAGTTTGAGACTCGAGAAAGGACATAGAATAGTTTTTATACAAAAAATCTGCAGAAAGTCAATATTCCATGTGAACGGAGTTGCGGGCAAAAGCTAGTTAATCATACTTTCATTCATGTTGTATAAACTGTTAGGTTATCTTAGCATTAAAGAAATAGATGTGAAAGTGCCTTGTATCAACAACAGATAAAATATATGTTTTTACTTGCCAGAACATAAAGAATATGATTTTGTTAGTAGTCGAAAGGAAAATTCTAGAGACTCCGTCCTGTTCCTGTGGGCGTCATAACACACGTTCACACATCACCAACCTATAAGTGCCCACTGCTGAGCAAAGGACTCTTTTAACACGGAGAATTTTACTCATTAATCACCACGCTTGCTTAAAGCGAATCGTCAATTATGCTGAGACGTGAAGATTATGTTCAGGCTCAATTTAGGTTAATGCATTAACTAAGTCCGCGTTAGTCCACTGCTGGACATTGAGCGTCTTTTAATGTGGAGGGACTTGCCATAATGTCCACGTTTGTTTGGAGATAGCAGTTTTAAAATTTCGGGTTTATCAGAGTCCTACTGTTAGCCGGTCTTTGTACAATGTGCAATTATTTAGTCAGTTCTTACGACACCCATCGTGTCGTGGTGGCCCAAAGATTAAGGCGCCCGCTTCTCTTGAATTCATAAAACTAAATTTTTATCTATGATTATTCAAGGTCAGTATATAATTATTTATTTTTATTCGACCTGTAAGCCGCATAGAAATAAACTAACAGTTTATAAAACAAAAATGAAAAGTATGATTAACTAACTAGCTTTTGCCCGCGACTTTGTTCGCATGGAATATTGACTTCCTGCAGATTTTTGGTATAAAAACTATTCTATGTCCAAACTATATCTGTATTAAATTTCACAGAAATCGGTTCAGTAGTTTGTGAAGAAAAGATAGACAGACAGATAGAGTTACTTTCGCATTTATAATATTAAAGTTTGGATAGTTTGAATAAACCGATTAATGTTCATTACTTCTCCGATAGAGAAGCTTTTGCTCATCAATGTGACGATCGATGTATGATCATGAAATATGAAACTTAACGCAGAAAATTAGCTAGACATAGGCACTTAATAACTAATAAGTGTGGGAGAACCATGATTCGGCACGAATGGGTCGGCTCGACCGGAGTGATACCACGGCCTTACAGAAAACCGGCGTGAAACAACCACAGCGTTGTATTTCGCCGTTTGAGTGAGTTTACCGGAGGCCCAATCCTTCCCCTCCCCCAATCCGTCCTCAATCCCTAGATCTCCAAATCCCTAATCCCTAAAAGGTCGGCAACGTAATCGTAACTCCTCCGTTGCGGGTGTCCATGGGCGGCGCTGATTGCTTACCATCAGGTAATCCGTCTGCTCGTTTGCCGACCTATTACATAAAAAAAATATGTCAGTGCCTGGGATGAACATTAAAATGGTGTTTGTAAACAACCACATGACGTAGATGATAATTCTGAGATAAAATTGTAAGTAGGTATATAGGTATAAAACATACATGTTTTTATAAGTGTAGATAAGAATTCAGATAAATTTATTCATGATTTTTTCCTGATCATTACGTTTGGGACATTCCCTTGGGTATAAGATTAATACTTTTGTAAATTGTTTACATAACATAACGTTACACCTATATACAGGGTGTAAAAAGACATTTAACGATGCCGAAAGCCACGTATTCTACCCATTATTTGGATCATTTTTTTCTTTAAGACCATAGCTGGGACTCCACGGGTTCTCGAGATATTGAAGGTCAAAGATGCATTTTTTATTTTTTTGCGCAATCGAATTCTAAGTATTATAACAACACCTTTTTCCAAACAAACATTACCTGAATTTTCGATTTTTCTAAATAAATTACGCATTTGAAGTTACGAACAGTAATGTACGTAATAAATAAATGCAGACCCGCACAAAAAACATCGTGCATCTCAGTAGGATTTTTATTTTACAGAATTGTTTTGTTGTTGTGAAGTAAAACGTCGACCTATGTACTTATCACAGCGTTTTAATGCTAAGCTGTGAACCTACGCACACAATGACACGAAGCCCGTTTGCTTTACATTGCGCGCAATAAAATTATTTTTTATTTTGATACCAAAAAATAAAAGTCGTGTCCCAGTGATAATTTTAGCGTAAAGCTACTTAGTTAGAACTGCAGTATGCGTGGTTAACGGCTTCGTTAAGTGTCTTCTTACACCCTGTATAATATCCTCGGAAGGCGTAGACAATGAATGAGATGAACTGGGGAGCCATCTCCTTCTTCTGCGAAGCCGTTCGGGTCAAAAAGAAGGGGATGGATGGCGTGAGGGAACTATCCTCCTCATGCCATAACCGCGAAAGGAGGAGACAATCCAATATTATCCCATGAAGAAATCTTGCCTAGGTGGAATTTCAACTTCTTGGTCCTCATTTTAAGGAAAACTGTAGCAATTATAAATGTAATAGTTATGACAAAGTCAGTCTCAAATCTTACACTGTAGTTAATAACTAAGTATCGTCTAGTCAGGGAAATCCCAACTTAAGAACATAGGGAAAACATTAATTATTCTATATACTAAAGACAGGTCTCTTCACGATTACGCGTAATATAGGGACATAAAGACAGAAAAAACGACCTTACATTTTTTTCTATGATATAGTAATGTAAAGCAACTCAGAAACATCATAAGTAAGCTAAACTAAAACACATTTTCTTGGTAATTAGAAAAGTATTATGTTGTTTCATTATTCTTAAGTAAGAGTGTACAACGTGTTTGATTACCTACCTATGCCGTCTGAAAACAAGAGGTGTGATATTACGAAGCTTGAAATAATATCAATAGGTACACATAAAAATCAATGCCACTTTTTAATGTAATGTTATAACTCAACAATGCCTATACCGATGTAGCTAATTTTGGTGTTGAATAATTCGTGGAAGTCCAAAGAAGGTTTCTAAAATCGACAATCACGCGGGCTTGGCTAGTTAATGTTAATGTGTAAATACTCCAGGAAAGCAATAAGTAGCTAATTGTACTTGTTAGCGGAAAATTATCCAATAAATATCTCCCTGAAGGAAAACCTTTATTTGCTTCTCTTGCTCAGAGCCAGGGCGTGGTAAGTCCAGCAGTCCCGGCAGTTATAATTTGGAAAAAAACCTTAATTAAACAATTCATTTATGCATAGTTTGTAATGCAATGCAAATGCATTCATAAATTGACATATTTATAACTTTTAATTGAAATAGCCACTTTACCTATTCACCTAAAAAAAAAAACATACAAAATTTCAACTTGTAATTAACCATGTAATAAACCCTATGTCATAAATAAGTTGTTGAGTAATTAATAGTTGTATTGTCATGCAACCTGACAGTCGTTTGCCTCGCCTGTAGACGACGAAACAAGAGGAAAATCCTGTTATAGGGTAAAGATTATAAAACACTATAGTTCCAATTTCTGATTCCAAGTCAATAACCCAGGTAAAGTCAAGAACATTTATGCTTATCTTCTCTTTTGTGAGTGTCAATAATTTGCGATGCATCTTCTCTCATCCCTACAAAATTTTATTAATAGACCTTACCGAAAAAGTTTAAGGATACTATTTTTCAAGAACGATAATTATTAACAATAGGTCCATTGACACTATTTGGTTTGGTATATTAATATTGCAACAAAATATGTTAAAATTAATGTCATTAAGGGCTGATTTTTTATGGTTAGATTGAGAGAAAAGTTGTCTGGGGAATAATTATAATGCTGTCGCGTCAGAATGTTTGTATAAGACAGTGACAGAAACAATTTTATTCCTCACATAAAATTTATCTGATGAAAAATCAGCCCTAAGACTTATACTGATAGGTATGATTGTTGCAAGAACAACACGGTTACACACACAAACTATAAACAAAATCGGTAGGTGAATAAAAATATTATAAAAATAAATAACACACATACCTGGAACAGAAACCCTAAGGCCTTTAGGATAGATGGCTTCCAATTTTGCTGGTGGAACTTTGTATGATGCACCTCGGTCCACGACGCATAGCGCGATAACAATAAATAAACAAATTGTGGAGCGAGCCATCACGTCCGTTCGGTTCGGCGTGCTCTGACGGACTGAGGTCCAGTGTCACGAACCGATGCGCAAGAGCATCTACGTAGAGTGATAAATATGTTAGACGCGCCGATTTGCAAAAGTTTTTTTTAATAGGCCTTTGTTTCATAGAGGGAAATAACTGGTTATTTTAGTTGTATAATATATTATGTTATATAAATATAAGTTTTTCTTAACGTTTTGTTCTCAGAAATGAGTTGAGCAGTTTGATTTATTATTTATGTGTTTTTAAAACCGTTTTTTCAGGAAGTACAGTAACGTCGAACTGTGTTAGGTACTAGTAGTGTCGTGGGGAAGTTTTGTACCTACTAATATTAATTTCATAGAAGTATTTAGTCGTAGGTTATTATACATATTTACCGCATCTTCTACAGACATTAGTAAAAACCTGTACTGCTTCGGTTTTTATCACTAGACACCAAGAAATCCGAAAAAGTAACTCGTTTTACGTTTCGGTGTAGAATTGCAATGTGCAAACGAGCAGATGGATTAACTGATGGTAAGCAATCGGCGCCGCCCATGGACACCCGCAACACCAAAGGAGTTACGAGTGCGTTGCCCCCCTTTTGGTGATAAGGGTTGCGGATATAAGGATCGGGAAGGGATAGGGGAAAGGGCGGGATTGGGCCTCCGGTAACCTCACTTACACGGCGAAACACAACACTGTGAGCTATTTCACGCCGGCATTCTGTGAGGCCGTGGTATCACTTCGGTCTAGCCGACCCATTCGTGCCGAAGCTATATATAATAGGTACTTTGTCCAACTCAGGTATGGAATTCGGAATGCCTTGTTGCTTTTGCGACGACTTTACCAATTTGTCACTTGACCTTCAATGTGCCTGTTTCAGGTTGAGATATTTGTATATTAACTTAACTTATTTATTTCATCAGTAAATAAAGTCCATTTTATAACACAACAAACAATTTTCCTAATATATTTCCTTATTAAAACAAAAGGAAAATTATAAACACAGCCGTGCTTTCAAGCCGAGGAAACCACAACACAAAATATGAGCGTCGTAGCAATAACAACAACTGAAGCCTCGCCCGGGAAGCGACACTTGTTCCACATTAAACCGCACGCACCGCTCCACCGTCTCGAATTTACATACATATAGCACAAACTTTAATAATAATAATACATTTATTGCTCAAACAAAAAAGAAAATACATGATTGGTTACATATCAAGTGTCTCGAACACTTCACTTTCCTTTTACATTTAATTTGACGATTAATGTCGTGAAGAAAAAAAAATGTGGTGTGTAGAAAAATCCTGTATTATATGAGATATCCATTCGTGCATAGTTACATTCACAATTATTCAGTAAACCAAACGTGTATCATTAATCAATAATTTATGTACGTGTGAGCACGTGTGTGTGTATGTGTGTGTGAGTGTGTGTGTGTGTGTGTGTGAGAGAGTGTGTGTGTGTGTGTGTATGTGTGTGTGTAATGTCTACATATATTCATGTAATAGGACGGATTACCTGATGGTGGTTACCGTTATTTAGATATTGAAAGAGGGGTAGAAGGATTGGGCCTCCGGAAACCTCACTTACGGTGAACCACAACGCTGTGATTGTTGCACATCGCGCCGCATTATTTTAAATTTAGATACGAATAAGTGAGTTTAAGTGTGGGAGAGCCATGCTTCGGCACGAATGGGTCGGCTCGACCGGAGTGATACCACAGCCTCACAGAAAACGGGCGTGAAATAACCACAGCGTTGTGTTTCGCCGTGTGAGTGAGGTTACCGGAGGCCCAATCCTTCCCCTCCCCCAGTTCCTCCTAAATCCCTAAATTTCCAAATCCCTAATCCCTAAAAGTTCGGCAACGCACTCATAACTCCTCCGTTACGAGTGTCCATGGGCGGCGCTGATTGTTTACCATCAGGTAATCCGTCTGCTCGTTTGCCGACCTATTAAATAAAAAAAAAGTGAATAGGGCAATAATTTTCCCTTTCCTATAAATTCCTATACCTTTATAGCGGCACTAACGACACCTGCGAAAAAAACAGAGATGCTCAAGAATTTATTACTCGATCATTGTATAAAATATTGGGTAAAAATGGTCATAAATCTAGAATATGTGTGTGTTATTATGTAGGTATTCTACATAATCCGATATGAATAATTCTCGTATTTCGGCTGGTCGCAGATGGTAGACGATCATACTAATTCTAACATAGCGAGATCCATAAGTTTGGCTTAGTTTTATTATGAGTATCACAATCCATTACATACAATATTATTACAAATTAATAATATTAGGTATCTATTAATATTGCTAGATTTCAGTTAGTTATTACGATGACTTACATAGTTTATCGTTTAGCTAGTGTGTTTTATCATTTATTAATTTATGCAACAAAACAAATCTTAGCTAATTATCAAGAAGAGGCAAAAAATTAAAGTTTGTATGTAGGGTGTAATCATTGGAACGGCTGGTCCGATTTTCAAAACTTTCACTGACTTTTGATTTGCGTATTGTAGGCAGTTCGTTTTAAACCCTGCGGTTTTTTAAATACCAGGATATATTACTTTGAAGCCTGTGAAGCTGCGGAAGAAAGCTAGTAATAGGTACTTAATTGCAAATCAGTGTTAAATAACCCCTATTTATTACCTTACCTATATTTTATATCAAAACAAAATCATAGAATGGCTCCTTCCGGAAGAAACAAGGGAGTATCAGTCAGATCTTTTACTCAGTATAAAATTATCCCGTTTTAACTTTTATTCCGAACGGGCCAAGGAATCTGCGTTTAGCTCATCAAGATCGGCCGAGAATCGTCCCTAGTAAGTCCCGTCTGTGGTGGTCTGTTGACTCTTTGAGGTGAAGTGGATGGTGAAAGCGCTGGTTGCGCGGGTCTGGTTCTGGTCCCTTCCATGGTGTGTCTCCCATATTACTCCAGCAAGGTAATTATAACGTGTGTGTAAAAAAAAATATTCTACATAGTCTAAACGGAGTATGTGGCTCATCCAGCTAGGTGTAATCACGATATCCACAAGGCTGTGGACTGATGAAAAGGACTGAGGACTGAGCTTAGTAATGATGTGCTTAGCAAGGCCTTGGTCCAGCAGTGACCAGACATGGACTGATACGGAGGCTACATCGCCGTTATAATCTTTATTCTTCTCTGTGATCCATATGACCTGTATGCTATGATCATATTAGAATTTTAATAACATAACTAACAATAATTTTGTAACTACAGTTCTTTGAAGAGTGACAAGAAAATGAGCTGACCACGACGAGTTCCACAGTTGGGTAGACACCCTCGTTCCAGGAAGTATTTCCTTTCAATATGAAATTAATTGAAAAGTTTCCAACTCGCAAGATTCTTCGGAAGTGTTTGAGATATTAAATTTTGTGTTTTAATGAGGTGTCGAGTTGCTTATTGTTTGAAAAGGGGTATGATGTTGTTACTCGATTCATATTTAGCTTTACGTAAACATTACTTTTATGTATTAGAAGTTTTAGACAAATTTTGAATGTGGATTTCACTGAAAACTGGTGTTTAACGACGACACCGTTGTTTTTCGCAGTGTGCGTGAGATTAGCACAGGCCCCATACTTCCAATCTCCCAAGCCCTAAATCTCCAATACCCTTATCCCAAAAATGGCAAAAACGTACTTGCAACTCCTACGTGGGGGTCCTCTTACTATAGTGTCTAGTTTCACCATGTGAGTAGGGTTACTGATGGCCCAATCTGTAATCTGACTAACACGGGTCAAGGTACACTAAGTTTAGTGAAGGTTTGTAAGTTTTTTTTTATAAAAAGCCCATTCTATTAATTTTAAAGTCTATGGTAAGGTGTGTGGTAATGACCTTCAAGAAAACCGTTGTCCCTTTTTTAAAGCAAGACGGATTGCACAAATTTTGTTCTAAACTCCAAATTAATTTGCACTAGTTTTCGAAATCATATTTATTATTTTTCCATAGAAAATACAGTTACCAATAGAAAAATACAAGGTGGGAAGGAAACAGTGTTATTATATTTAAATGTAAAATGAAAATTATGAAGTCAAAAGAAATAAATCCAGAACTTAAAAGTATTTAATTTTCCGCTGTTGAATCTACTAATCTACTAAGGTTGAATATGTAACACATAAGGGTTCTCGTTTACGTCAATAGATGGCGTTACTTGTTGGATGCGGGTAAGATCTGCAAAAGACTAGGGACCCGTTCTTTCTTGGTATAGATAACGAAATACCTCCATGCAATGACGTATTATATATAGACACGTCATGAACCAACATCGCCGCGCTTAAAAACGGCGAAAACACTAGATAACTACTTCTACGAGTAAAGAAAGGGAAAGAAAATATGACATCGTATAGTGGAATGCCTTTGCTAGAGGGAGATAAATATACATCTTCAGTTACATCGGCACGTGACTATACCTTCATGCGCCGGCCGCCATAAGATGGCGGGCGCCGGCGTCGAAAAAATAAAATAAAAATAGGTTGTTTGGTAAACTTACGCATGAAATGACACATTTTTGTCTTTAACTTTTGGAGTATAATTTGTACATCGTCTGAACACACACGACGGCATGCTTTCTTTATGTTTCGCACAGGTTTACACACACGATATAAATTAAAAACAAACGTAGCGTCACGCGGCAGGTTGGTGCGTAACTAAGCGCGATGTTTTCAATTGCCTTCATTTCATGTTGTCATTTTAGAGCGCGGACAACGTATCTATAGTTTTATACATCATTGCCTCCATGACAATTTTTGTTTTATTAGCGTACTGCTACGGCATCGAAAGGGTTTTTGCTTTTTGCCAAATTTCTCCCATACTTAACCAAATACTTATGATCTTTTCAAACGCAACATAAAAGGCTGGTCGGATTACTTAAATTCTAATGTTTTTTTATCAACCGAGGCTCGTTGCAATTTGGAACTAGTAGAGCTTTGCTCCGTTAATTCACGTGTTAAACCCATTATTTTAAATAAATTCGATGAATTCGGAATACGGTGAAGGAAAACAACCTGGACTTCTAATTTCTAATTCTAAGTTTGAAAA